TGACCATATTTACAATGTGAATCTCTGGCTCTGGTGTGAACAATCAAACTCTAACACCAGAAGAGTGGGAGAGGTTATTAAAAGAATTTGATTGGATTTACAGCAGTGACAGATCCTCGTTATTACAGCACTTAGTTACTTACGGATTCTCATATCAAAAAACCAGATGACACCTGCAATAGTATAGCGGCTCAGATTTGGTGGAACCCGTTGCCCAGCCTCTCTCAAACTCTTCCCATGGTTCACAACATGGTCAACCACAGTAGTTCTGATTTCATCTGTTACGTTCCTGACTCCCTCCTCCTCCTCGTACTCCTTCACCTCCCTTGTCCATGTCCTCCTCTTCCTCCTGTAACTCTCACCCCTTTAAAGCCTCCATTGTTGGCCAAACCAAATGTTTAACTGTGGCCTATTTAGGTGTAGTGCTCAAGCTCTGATTGGTATGTGAAATAAAACTCAAAAGTGTGAAATGCCAATTGACTGTAAAATAGTGAGTTGTGTTTAAAGCTTTGCAAAAAGTGTTATAAAATTACAAACCGAGTGTAAAGCAGAGAACATGCACACAGGTTGGCACACTTGATTTGGCTACTAGTGTTAACGGTTTCAGAAATAGCACTTCAAGAATGACTGTGTTTAAGCATTCAGAAAAAACTGTAAAACAATGCGCGTGTTTATTGTCAACGAGGACATAAAAAAAGAAAATGATTTTCGTCTAAACAACACAGATTCTCTATTAATAGTTATACTATCAAGATTATTCAAGTGGCAGAAAAATTTTACTTGCAATGAATGGGAATACAAGTGGCGCATTACAAAGCTGGTATGAACAAATCTGAACATACTTCAAATGGTCATGAATACATCATTGTCAAACAGTTTTTGAACACATTTCTTTGCCTTTAGTGTGTATATTGTATACACACATACATACATATATAATGTATATGCAATTATAATATATTAAAAGCATAACAAAATGGCAACAAAATAAATAAAATGTTACTGTGCAATGTCTTATTTCCAGCTGGATTATCTTCAAACTTGTAACAATCTTAAAAAATGAAGAAAAAAAGGTCAATTTTATTAATAACCTTTTTATATTCATATTAATGTTATTATAACACATTCTCAGAGCAAAAATAAGAGCCCTGTCAAGAGGCTGGAATCAGGATGATAACTGCATTTTCAGCAGGACAGGGCAAAAAAATTATTCAACAGCCTCCTCTCTGCAGCCCCTGCCGGTTTTACACCATCTGTCTTATACTTTCTAACCTCTCATTCACCAGCTTTGGCCAGGGCCGTTTGGCATGGGATGAGGTTGCCTATAGACATTGATCCAAAGACTCCTTTCTTCACATTTACCTTCTCCCCATGCCTCCCCTTAACATTCCACAACATTACAGCCCACCTGATGGCTTCCATTTTTATTTGGGGTTGACAGACACTTGAATGCTGAACTTAGATCTGTGCCTGAGGGCAACTTCAACACAGGGGCAGCTCGTGTTCACTGTAAAATACTAAGGATTTCCTTGGCATTCTCCGTGTTCCAGCCCTGGCCCTGCAGAGGGCCCTCACAGGCAAGCACATATTTGTTGAGGATCTGTGTGCCAATGTCCCGAAACTGGAGGCGATCTTCTTTGCGATCCATTGTGTCAGCGCTGCAGTCCTCATACTTGACTGCCCAGAAACACATTTCTCCGATGTACATCATTGTCAACAGGTGTGTGTCTGAGAAAATGCCTGGCCAAAAAGATAAGCAGGTAGTGAGTATGATCAAATGGTCCAACTGGACTGAAGCAGCACAAGAGTTTTTGTTATTCAGAGATAACTAATGATGTATTTACCTTCAGATAGGAAACTTGCTGTAGCAGTATCATGGAGCACTACCCCATCGTTGAGCTTCACAGAGTTTCTCACCTGCAGCATCCGCATCAGGTAGCGCACCCCTTCCTGAATACACTGGATTAAAAAAATGTTGTTTGGCAGAATCATCAAGCCTACATCTCTGTTCACAAATACAATTTACTGAATCTACAGTTTACTGAACTACTATTCAGATCTTTCCACAGTGTGGTACCTTAAGGAATGTGTCCTTGTTTTTCTTGATCCACTGTTTTCGTTGATGAAGGGTGTGGCAGTACATGTACAGCAGAGCTCCACGTCTCCAATAGAGGCATTCTAACAGCTCTAGGCCCAGCACAGACTGCACCTACCACAGACCAAAATACATGATAGTGCTGTCACACCAGTGTTTCCCACAGAATGACTGTGGTGGGGCAGGAGCAGCAGGGTATATTTCTATTTCTAGTAGGTTATCTATTTCACACATTTAATTCTACAAAAAAAAAAACAGACACATAACTTGATTTTTCCACCCGCAAATTCGTTTTTACAGCAGCAATTGCGCTGCATGTGGAGGAGGCTTGTTGATGACGTAGCCTTTCGAAACAAACATGGTGCCAAATGACATCTGCACTTGTGTCACTGTTGCTTTACCTGGTCTGTGCTTGTAAAATATCCACCGTGTTTGCATCTTGTAAAGTAATATCAGATAACATCTCTCTGTATTTCTCTGCAAAATGCTAAAATGGGATGCCAAATATAATTTGGCGGCTGTTAGTATACCTGGGCGGCTTGCCCAAGTCTATATGTGGGAAACACTGCACACAATGCCATGAAAGTAAATGTTTAGAAGTTTGTTTTAGAGCCATAAACCAAAAGACAAAATTAAAATGGAATAGTCCTCTTATTGGGAATACTTGATAATCAAGTTCTTACATATTTGTTTTCCCCTCAGATATTGAACTATACATTGCACAGTTAATGATGTTCTTCCTCATTGATTTCATGCCAAGCACGGTTGGTCACATAAGTGAGTGCAATGAGAAACAATCACACTGACACTCAAAACTGTTTTGAGATTCACATATACATACTTCTTGTGCTGGTGCTAGCCTCCCTGCCAAAACTTCTGGCTCGGTCAAGTCCTGCAGCAGCTGCTGGATTTTAAATGGTGAACAGTCCTCAGGGAACTCCTGGTCCACCAGTTTATTCTCTTCATAAAAAGTGATGTCTAGAATCACCTAGATAATGAAAAACAAATATATACCCATAACTAACATTGAGTACAAAGTCCTTACTAACTTTAGTCAGAGTTTAGACCACTTCACATTACCAAGCCCCCCTTAACTAAAGTCATTAACGATCAACAACCAACCACTGACTCTAGCACACCCTTGGTCTTAATTTTCCTCAGCCTAAGCATCCCTTAAGACTTGGTACCAAGTCAAGTAACTTGTTTTGCAGCTTGAGCATTCATTTTCACTCCTACATTCTTAAAGCTATAATGATGGCTTCCACAAAGTAAATATTACCCCTATTGGTAAACGTATAGAATATATGATATTCAAGTAAAATGCTAAACTGAAGGGCCTCTGCAGGTTTGAGGTTTATAGTCATAATACGAAAATGTTGGTAACCGATTAACTGCTTGCGTCAATTATCGAGCAAAACTACCAAGCATTTGGTGGTTCAGCAGTCTCAAATTTAAGGGATGCTTTCCCCTGTTTCACATAATTATTAAACATGATTGAATACCTTTGTGTTTTGCACAGCGAAACTGACATGGGGATTCTTCACTTTATCTGGTGTTTTATCAACTAAACGGTTAATTGAAAAAAGAGTCAGATACTAATCACTAATGAAAATAATCATTAACTGCGGCTCTAGACATTTAATTGAGTTCGATGTAACGACGTACCTGTGTGTAATCCTGGAGCACCTTAGAAAGGTTGCTACTCTCCCCTCCTTGTCTGTAATAGCTTTTCAACTTGTCTAGTATGGCAGACGCATTCTGTAAATAGTCGTCATCTATGGAAGAACGATGTGTTAACACATTAGCAATAACAGACCGAAACTCAAGACAAATGATCAACAACGTTACACATTTATAGTACTACTGTTGATGATTGGCACACACAAAGTTAAGGCAAAATAATTCGTCTAACGGTAACATAGCACAGCAAGTTTTAACGTTAAGTTACTATCATTGCAAGAAATGTGTAACGTTACTACAACACAGAATAATACACTTCAACACAGAATAATGGCAACGTTAGTTCGACAATTTACTCTCAACTCTGGTTTATTTAGTATTAACGTTTAATACCAGAGGCGGCATCATGCTTCATGGTCAGCTAACGTCCACTTAGACGTTCGTAAACAATAATGCATTTTAGCTAACAGTTAACGTTAGCTTACGCTAGCCGTCAAAACCCAGATCATTCAAAAGCAATGATCGGTCAGTGTGTAAACATCCCCATACCGTTACTAAGTTAACATTATACCGCATGTAAGTTAAAGGTAGGGCAAGTATTATTTGTCAACATGAAACATTTCATCAGACAACAGCTGTTGTTATGGTTCCAAGCTATGTTAGATAACGGTAGCTAGCTTGCTGGTTGGCTCATAAACTGATCAAGCATATTAGCCACGCATACAAGGTGCCGAGAATGGCCACAAGGCGACAAAAATAATAACGTCTTATCGATACCTTGCTTTTCAGCTCTGAGACTAGAACACTTGATGTCTAACTCAAATATCCTTCTCTCCAACTCGAAACCTTGTCGCCTGTATTCGTCGGCCATGACTAAAAGTATTGGTCACGTGAGCAAGGGATTACTCACGTGCTCTTTCGATATGCCGTTAATTTCTGTTTTCTTGTGTGCACGGGCCTCGGGCAGCTCTAAAAAAAACAAAGCGTACCGTTTATTCATCGTCATTACATACTGCATTATGCTACTTATTTCACCCTTGAGATCTAAAATACCGTTAACATCAAAGCATCTTGACGTGGTAGCGTAATTTAGTGGTGGTGAAAGGGTTATATTTAAATGAGCTTGCCAAGCCTCCTGTTTGCCAGCCCGCTGGTCCAGCCCATTCAGAAACCAGCCAATGTCATCTTCGCGCTGACTTTTGGGTCTCTGAGCTAGCAGTGCTAGTAGCAACATATTGCGACGTTGCAGCCTGCATCATCTCATGTGTCCTTCACCGGCTGGAGCTTTCACTCTGCTCCTCGGCTTGTCTCATACCCCGGTATTAGCTTCAAAACATGGCGGCCCTCAAAGCTTTGTGCAGAGCGCAGAATTTATTCTTCAAAAATCCCTCAGGTCCATGCAGAACCAAATTAAACTTCGCTTATCTCCACTTGAGCAAGGTCGGTATTTAAACGGTAATTAAGATCATTGTAGAAATAATAAGTTAATTTATAAGTAACGTTAGGTTGAAATGAAATGTTTGAAAATGGCTGGGTAAGATTAAAATGCAAAAATATTATGAATATTGTAACGTTATTCCACTTGTCTTACATTATTTCGGATGGAAGTGAGCTATGGTTTGGTAATTTACCAAATCTTCACATATTATTTTTGTTCAGTTTAGTTGTCAGTGATATCGTGGACTGACCGCAAGGTGCTTGATGACGCTACTCAATAATTTCGTCAGAACACTTCGTAACCAGATTGCAAACTGATGATAACTTTCAGTAAAGCATTTGATAATTTGAGCTCGTGCCATTTCACGGGTCATTGATCTAAAAATCATAACAATAGTCATACCCGCAGCTTGACGTGCAGGATAGTTTATATGTCCAGTGTTGTAGGCGAAATGAGGTGCTTGCATAATAATCCAACCCTACCAGCATACCTTTTACACAGAAAGTCTTTGCAATATTTCCATCGTGTTTATTTTTGGCAGTGCCCATAGTCTTGACATTGTACAAGGTTATCATGCATATGAGTAATTTGATTTCAGAAAGCAATGTGGTGTCTGAGTTGAGAACTATTGAGGGATGCAAATGTAGGAAATTCTTAATATAATATTAAGAAGGATTCTTGGTGGAGTAGCAAAATGCATAATGGTTTTAAAATCTGAGCAGCAGCCTCTGAAATATTGTACAATATGATCAATGAACAAACAGTAATGGAAGCAAACCATGTATCAAAGTTTTGATTAGTGAAGACAGAGATGTTATGTGTTATCTATGGAGGAACAAAAGGAGCTTCCCATTGAACATCATAATGTGTTTATGGTCAAAATTGGCCTTGGTAACCTCTAGATGTTACTGCAATATAGTAAGTTGAACCTTTAGACTGGTTTTAAACCATCTGGATGACGGTAAACTGGCTTTTCATTTGTAGGGCTGCGCTCTGAACGACTCGTGCGTTATCCTAGATACATGTATCCATATAAAGAAAAAGAGGGTCACACAGAAATATATCATTCAGTAAGTTTATTTAGTATCTGTCTGGCAACTGGCTTCATTAATTGTTCATAGTTTGATGCCTTTCTTTTTGCAAGTCATACAGAACAGATATTGAATATTGTTTCAAGTAAGCAATATTGCATAACAAGGCGTATATGCTCATTTTAAGTAGACAAAGAAAAGTGAACAAGGAGGGACATCAAAATGCAAAGTGATGTGGAGTTTTCTCATCTGTCTGATCTCTAATAGTTCACTATTTAAATAGCCAACAGAAATCACAACAATATAATATCAAATGTCATTATTACAGATTTACAATGTGATTGCAATAGTCAGCATAATTGGGTTCGGGAAGTAGTCATGGTTCCAGTCCCAATTATTGGTGGTAAAACACAGCTAAATATCTTGTGAAATAATTGAATATAATTGGTCTGAGCACCACAAGTACAATTTTAGTTGATCAGTATTTACAGAGAGGATTTCAAATTTTACTCCTCAGTTAACTCTGTTGGGTTTAGGCTCTTGGCTGTGGGCTGCTCTAAACCTCTGCTCCTTTTGTTGTAGAATTTGTTCAGCAGTTTTGCTTATCTTTCCCTTCCTCTGCTAAATAAACTGGATCAGCTATTAAAACTGTACAAACGTATTAGCTGTCCTCAGGCATCAGGCCATTTTTTAAACTACCAACTTTTTACATTTTTAAGTGTTATGCTGATGGTGCATTTATTCAGAACCGCTTACAGTGAGTTTCTGTTGTTATGGAACTCTTTAAAAAAAAAAAAAAAAAAAAGGAACATGTTTCGTTAAGTCTTAGGGACCTGTTGTTTTTCTTTCTACAGACCTGCGGTTGTTACTTTTCTACGTCCAGCCAGAGGAGTTCACAGTTCTACTCGGACCCTACAGAGGCAGTCAAAGACATCCCAAATGGAGCTACCATTCTAGTGGGAGGTAAGACATAATATTTTTCACACACAGGCTCCAAGATTGTAGGATGGTTACATAACACCTCATTGACAGTGCTGGCAAATTACCTTAGTTTTTAACTGCATGCAAGTTTTTTTTAACTGATGAAAAAGATGTTCAGCAATGTACGTGTAAGGACAACATTTACAGCAAAGTGAACTTGAACTCTGACAGGCATGGTGGTTTATTAGCATTCACACACAGAGGGCACACAAGTTACACAGCTCTTATTTATAGTCATGTGAGGAGTGACATTGTTAAACATTTTCCACTGTGTCACACTTCTATCTAGGGGTGTGTATGTGTGTGTGGTGGGGGATCTTTCTCAGTGTGATTTAAGAAATGTTGTCTAACAACCTATATACACCGGGCTAGAATTACTTGAGGCTTGATCCAGCATTTACCATGTTATTGGACTTGTGTGATTTGTAATAGCTGGAGATGTCATCTTTTCTGTACAAATGAATGAATTGAAGTGACCATATTTCACCTTTTCACAGCTTTACAGTGCTTCTTTGGTTGCTTCAATTTTTGTTTTTGTTATTATGCATTACCTACTCTTTTTTTTTCCAACACAGGCTTTGGATTATGCGGTATACCAGAGAATCTTATCAACAGTTTACTGAAAACCGGCGTTAAGAGTCTCACTGCAGTCAGCAACAATGCAGGGTAAGTAAGTTTGGAGGGGAGGAAGCATGTGTGTACCATACATGCATGCTTAGCACACATGCAGGCGCCTGCATGTAAACCTGTGCTGATACCAGGTAGTGCATTCCATAGTACAATTGATATTGATTTAATACATTTTCCCCTCATGCAAACATCAAAGTCCTGCTTATTTCCTCCAACAAATGATAGCATGGGCTATCAAAAACAGGAATCAGTGAGTAAGACTCTCCTGGCCCATGTCAATCCCTCCCGTGTAGGCCCCCAGCTAGTGAATAGGGAATCTTGATTGGACTCATGAAAGAGTCTGTTTCTTCATCTGCTTATAGACATGTTTTAAATTCATATTAGAGAGGTTTTGGTGACCTTGTCGCTGTATCTTCAAACAGGCAATGTTGACCTGGAGAGATGCCCAGAAGTTAGCTTCCGATAAGTAATCAGAGCTGCAGACACAAGGAAAAGGGGTTTGATGTGATTGCCACTCCTTTAGTGGCCAGGTGATATCGTGTGTGATGTGTGTTCTCTGTGGTTACTGCTGACCTCACATTTTCGATTGTCCTTTAATTGTGGCCAGCCTAAGGCACATCTGTGCAATACCCATGCTGTCTTATCAGCATCTTGATATGCTACACCTGTGAGGTGGATGGATTATTTCGACAAAGGAGAAGTGCTCACTAACACAGATTTTGACAGATTTGTGAACAATATTTGAGATAAATAGGCCTTTTGTGTTCATAGAGAAAGTCTTAGAGCTTTGAGTTCAGCTCATGATGAATGGGGGCAAAAACAAAAGTGTTATCCAACGAAGGTTGAGGTCAAGGACAACTGGACTTGGTTGAAGATACTAGAAGACTTTTTGTCCCTCATCCAAGAGACTTCTAACTGACTGGTAGGGAAGCTCAGCTAGATGGTCGCTAGAACCACCAGGGGTCAGGAGTTTTTATTTTTCAGTTTCTGTTTTACTATAGCAACTTGGACCATCCATCCATCCATCGACGACCGCTTATCCTGCATACAGGGTCACGGGGGGCTGGAGCCAATCCCAGCTGACATCGGGCGAAAGGTGGGGTACACCCTGGACAGGTCGCCAGTCCATCGCGGGGCCACACATAGACAGACAACCACTCACACTCACATCCACACCTAAGGACTATTTGGGGCTGTGAGGCGACAGCGCTAACCACTGCCCCGGCCCAAACTTGGATCAATCTTTGTTTTTGCTTAGCTCAACAGGGCCGATCAAAGAAGTTTACTTTCCATTTGGTGTGAGTTTAATCCCCAAACGTCAATAGCGATAGCCTTAGAGAGCTGCGCCTATACTCATATAATCTGGAGTTACAGTACGTAACCACAGTTTTGTTGGGGCTGAAGTCAGCGCTGGGTTGTGTGATAGGCTCAACAGAGACAGTGTGGAGAAGAGAGTGAAAGAGGAAAAAGAAATGTGTGATGCCGAAAAAATGTATGGATTATTGTAAGTCATATTTATATATTCTCGTGCATATGTAACTGTACAATCAGTAAAAGTAGAGGGTCCAGCACAGGGGAAGCTGAGCCAGGGATAGGCCTATTCAGAGATAAAGATGAGGGATTTGATTTTTATGTACACACATACACACTGCTGTATTTTATGGGATTGTTTTGTAGTTTTTGAGTATATTTAAGTATTTTAGCCCTCTGACTGACTCAGGCTTGCCTGACTTGGTCTTGTTCAGTGCAGAGCTGCCTTGCTTATACAAACTAAAGAGGCAGGTGTCATCCTGAAGTTTCTTGAAGGTCGTCACCATAATCGGATTCACTATGCAACAAAAACACTAATACGTATTCAAATAACTGCAAAAAACATTTCTTACGTATAAAAGGCCTCTCCGTCTCAAAGTCCCAGGCTGAATTTCAGTCCCAGTACATCCCTGCGTGTGGGGTCAGGTGTGTGTGTGTGTGTTTGGGTGGGGGGGACATGAGAGTCAGTGGGGGACCCCGGCCTTGTTGAGGAGGCCCACTGCAGTCGGAAAGAAAGTGTACTTGTGACGCTAGGATTTGGTCCTGATGGACCGCAGCCTCCTGCTGGAGTGGGGTGTCTGAAACTGTTTGTGTCTGGGGTGGAAGGGGTCTGCCACAACCTTTCCTGCACGCCTCAGAGTCCTGGAGGCTTGCAGGTCCTGGAGGGATAGAAGGTGGCAACCAATCTCCTTCTCTGCAGACGGAATGATACGTTGCAGCCTGCCCTTGTCCCTGGCGATGGCAGCAGCGTACCAGGTAGTGATGGAGGAGGTGAGGATGGACTAGATTATGTCGGTGTAGAAGTGCACAATAGTGATGACTGTGTCACACAGGATGATGGGGGTGGGTGGGGCTGTACTCTTTCTGAAGTCCACGACCATCTCCACGGTCTTCAGAGCGTTGAGCTCCAGACTGTTCTGGCTGCGCCAGGTCACCAGATGGCAAATCTCCCAACTGTAGGCGGACTCATCCCCAAGAGAGATTAGCCCAATGAGGGTGTTGTAATCCGTAAACTTCAGGAGCTTGACGGACTGGTGACTGGAGGTGCAGCTGTTGGTTTACAGGGAGAAGAGCAGAGGGGAAAGAACACAGCCTTGAGGGGAACCAGTGCTGATGATCCTGGAGTCAGAGACATGTTTTCCCATGCTGCTTCACATGCTGCTTCCTTTCCAACAAGAAGTCTGTGATCCACCTGCAGGTAGAGTCAGGCACGCTCAGCTGGTGGAGCTTGTCCTGAAGCAAAGCCAGGATGATGGTGTTGAAAGCAGAGCTGAAATCCACAAACAGGAGGTTCCTGGGGAATCCAGGTGCTGGAGGATGAAGTGAAGAGCCATGTTTACTGTGTTGTCTGCAGATCTGTTGACTCTGTAGGTGCACTGCAGGGGGACCAGGAGTGGGTCTGTAGTGGACTTGATGTGGGACAACACAAGGCCCTCAAAAGACTTTATAACAACAGAGGTCAAGGTGACGGGTCTGTAGTCATTTAGTCCTGTGGTCCATGTTTTTTTGGGGACAGGAATGATGGTGGAGGTTTTGAAGCAGGCTGGCACATGGCATGTCTCCAGTGAGGTGTTAAAGGTCTCTGGAACACCAGAGACAGCTGATCAGCACAGTGCTTTAGAGTGGATGGAGAAACCGAGTCCGGCCCAGCTGCTTTGCAGGGTTTCTGCCTCCTAAACAGTCTGTTGACATCCTTTTCTAAGATAGCGTGGGTGGGGGAGGAGGTGGAGCTACCCCCCTCTGAGGAGGGGGTGGATGAAATGGTGCTGGGGTGAAAATTAACTTTTTGGCTCACCTGCCAAGGTGGCAGGTAGATGAAAAAATTGCCTTTTGTGTCACACATACATTTGTTTCTGTCCTTTTAATTGAGATAATAAGGTATTATGCCAAATGCAAACTTAAAGAAGAGGCCAGAGTGAAATTTAAAGCAAAATTATATTATTGCTATTAAATGTACTTAAGACATAAGAGTAAATTGTTTTATAAACTTACAAGATGCTTATTAATCACTCTTAATCATGTTTTTTCATTCAGCTTAAACCTCCTCATCAGACTGTTCACTTTCTACAATCACCCACTTCTGTCCTCCTGGTTCTGACAGAGTCCTGGTGCCACAGCATCACAGGTTTTATGGGATAAATATTTTTTTATACAGTCTATGGATCGTTCTCCTTGATCTCTGGGCAGGACAGCAGGACCGCCGGCTAACAGCTAAAAACACTCCTAGTACAACAAATTTTGTAATTAGCTCTTCACACTAGCAGCTTTCACGCTGCCTTATTTCACAGGAGTATTGCACCAATCTGCCGGCTCGCTGCAGTTTTATCTGCCTCTGAGCAGGAAACGTTGGTGACAGACACGAGACAGAAAGACGGAATGATCTATTTGTGAAAAGCCACAGCCGACATGCCGCGACACGCCGCTGGTAAAGCCGGACTGCTATGTGAAAGCATACATAGTTGCGGGATAAAGGCCTTTTCACAGGGGATAAAGCTGAAAACTTTTGTTCAGTATGAAGAAGCGAATGCGACATAAATACGGTAATTCTTTTTGCGCTGATCTCCGTATGAAAGCAGCTACATTCTCACTCTCCCTCCTGACTCCTGTCCCCCAACACCCAACCCTTATAAATATATGCCAATCAAACACAAGAATCATGAAAATAACAAACAACAATCAATGAACGCCTAATCCATGTGTTAAACGATTTCAGATCCCTTGGTACAGGGGAACTACTGATCTGCTGCTAATTACCGTCAAATATATTTACCCACCTTCCTACCTTGGCCTTCCAACATTTGGCAGCCAAACGGAAAATCCACCTGTGGGAATTTGGTATCAATTTCCATCTCTGAAATGGTGAATTGTGGCCGATCAGTGTGGGGATGGTGTCAGGTCTGTCCCATTGTCTCTTGAAGCGACAGTAAAACTGGTTCATTGGCAAGGCGAGTGTATTCATGGAGTGGGGGGATTTAGTCGTTTCTTGAGAACTGGTGTTGTAGTCTCTCTGAATACATTTCGTTTAGCATCTCGTACCGCCTTGCTAAACCTGTACCTTGACTCCTTAAACCTGGCCCGGTTTCCACTCCTAAATGCCTGTTCCTTTTCCAACCTTAGCTTAACACCTATAAACTTCATAGATTGGTATTGGAGGTCATTTGGAGAAACTAATCTCTCCTTTTTAAAAATAATAATTTCTTTATAACTAGGCCTACGTTAAAGATAATACTATAATAGTGCAGCCTCAACTTTAAAAAAATAACTTGTCTGTGCTGCAGAATTGAGGTGTAGAATAACATTGTGCCAAGTGTGCCAAATACCAGAGTTGGGCATTAGGAAGATCAAAATTGCTTCACTGTTTCTCTGTGCCAGTAGTTTTTTTTTAGCACTGTCCTGTGAGGTTTGTTAGTGTGTTTTACAGAAGTTACTCTTTACTAGACCTGTCTTTTGGACTTTGATTTTTAGTGAATATTGATTCTTGGAACATGTACTCAAAATGTTTGCTTGCCAAGCCATCCTATTGAGCAATCATTGATCCCCTAAATTCCTTCCCTCTGTACGTGTTAGTTGTTGGGAAAGATTATAATCACTTCTAAATATTGTCTGAACATTTCTGAGCAAGTGCCAACATAGTGGAACCATTTATGCATTTTACAGTCAACATGTTTATTTAGTGTGAACTGTAGTACATATAATACCCTCAAGCACATGTCTTGTTTCCAGTTTCTTTGCAAAAACAGGTTTGACTGGGGCTTCTCAACAGAGACAATCACGCATGTGGCTTATATTCCAATAAGGGGAAGGGAGCTGAAATGCGAGAGTTACATTGAAGTTAACAGGAATGCGTTAAATGTGAATATCATTGATTATTCTCTTTTTATAAAAGCTACCAGGCATGTGTACTGTTTTCTTGGTCACAGCTGAATCATATTTACATGTTCTGGCTCTGGAGGGAATAGAGCTGGAAGGGGAAAGATGTAGTTATGTAACATTTAATTTTAGAGGGAAGATTCCTAAAGCTGAAAACTCCCCTTCCTGTGCTTGTTTCTTCTTGAATGTCGAAGTGGATTGTTTATTCTCTTCAATGAAATGTGCCAAACGGGTAATGGAAATTTCTTGTATTATCTCAGATATTGGACATTTAGCCTATTTACTGTATGACCACTTTAAAATAAACACTTTTTCCCCAACACAGACTGCTAGGCTATAATCTAAATCTTAGTGTTGGTGTGTAATACTGGATATTGATACAAGAAAATATGATGGATGGAAGTTATTTCCTTAATGATCTCACAGGGTTCTTTGCAAAACAGGAATTTGTTTGATGTATGAATAAAGGAAAGTGATTTCACCTATCAGTGCCTATTGTACACGTTTATACAAAAGACATTGCTGACTATTTTGGTTAGCAGTGAGAGGCAAGTGTAATTTTGGTTTCGGAATTGCTGCTTTTAAATTTCAAAGGAAAACTTCTAGCCCTGGTATCACCACTGTTGAGTGAGTGGGTGAGGGGCAGAACTTCATCCCTGCAGCTTTATATTTATTCTTTAATCAGCTGCTTCAGGAATGATAACAATGTTAGCATTAGTTAAACTTGCCAAACCCGTTTCCATACACTGCCCTGTGATGTGTTATACCTTTAGTGGTGTGTGACAGCGTGACACAGTCATCTGTTTTTGGTATTCTGAGCACACATGGCCTAGATATCTTGTCAGCTGACCTGAGGTTAAGGACAAAGCAGTAGTTCCTAATTCTCAGCTTCTTAGGATACAGAAAAGAGGGAGAACCCACTCCTTCCAAAGCTCAGCTTTCCTCTAGTCTGATTAGAAAGAGCAGAGACTGAGCAACAATAGAGAGAAGCTATCTTTGGATAAATGCTTTCACATTAACATACAATGAAAGGTTTTGTAATTTTTATTATGTCGGTCATTGAAATTGACTTGCTTTGATTACGCAGTGTTCTCAGAGAAATATTGCTTGTAATCAAACAGGGTGGGACATATAAGATAAGACGTTTGATTTTACTTTTATCTTGTATCACAATACCCTGTTTTATAAAGATTTATGAAGACTATTCCTTCAGAGGTTAATGACTGACGAGTTACACAAAATCAGTCCTCTTATACAGTAGTGTAGAGTATTTCAACAACCCTAGTAACACAATAACTTTCTTTGGTAATATAAAGTTAGGAGGGACTACTCACAGTACTATGTTTAGGAATGAGTTTTCTTGCTGTCAGATCATGATGGTTTGTCTGGGTTTGATGGTCTAAATGTGTATTTTTATTTTATTTAACCTTTATTTAAGCAGATGATCTTATTGAGATATAAAACCTCTTTTTCAAGAGAGACCTGGCCAAAATAGCAGCATATTGACAGAGCACAGTTACAAATACGAACACCAAGCACACCCAAAACAAAAGTAAAAGTAAATTAACAACCTATAGTACCATTTGGAGCAGTTTATAGTTTGTCACCCCTCTAACGACACTTTCTAGTGGAATAAAGAAATAAAGTAAGTCTGTGCACTTTTCACAGACGATAAACACAAACAACTGTTTCAATGGCTTCTTCAGGCTCTGCAGCTGTGTTTGGTATGTATGTATCACACAACAACCTCTCTGGGGATTTATGGTAATGTGAGCTATATTTCAAATTGTAGAAGGTAGGGATGAATAGGACTTAAGCAGTAGAGGGAACTGAACTGAATAACAGTGGGTAGTTTAACAAAAAAATACTTTAATGTCAAATCTCAAATGACCTACATTCATAACAAATATGAAAGACAAAACAAATTGACTTCAAAAATATTAGAGGCACCTTTGCCAGCCTTGAATCTATATATCAGCTTTACTCATCTGAAAACTATAATATTTTTCCATTCTTCTTTGCAAAATTGCTCAAGCTCTGACAAGTTGCTTGGAGTGAAGAGCAGAACTTACATAATGTAGACTTAGATGTTGAATTACCTTATTAAACTTGCAAAATCTGACTGTGAAAAAAACTGACTGTGATTCCTTTCCTCATTTTCTTTAAAACGTTTGTTTGAGAAGCATGTATTGCTAAGTAAATTATGAGAGTTGGAGAATAAGGCCTCACATCTGTATTTTGGTATCTGTCCATTGCACTGTAGCCTAATTTTACCCATTTTAAAAGTTCATACTATTTTGTGTGTGTGTGTGTGTGTGTGTGTGTGTTTTCTTCAGAGTGGATAACTTTGGCCTGGGTCTGCTGCTCCAGACTAAGCAGATCAAGAGGATGATCTCTTCATACGTTGGGGAGAATGTAGAGTTTGAGCGACAGTATCTGGCAGGGGAGTTGGAAGTGGAACTGACACCTCAGGTTGGTCAGGGAACGTATGGAAAGGTTTATACATGAATTTTCACACAAATCAAAAAAATGCTGCATATGAAAACACAAATTCACTCAAGAAGTCTTGGCATGTAAATTTCAACATCCAAATGACCGGACTTCATAAGGTATATATTACATATTTGACAATAACAAAGGTATGCAGTGGACATTTTTTCTGTTGTACTCATCTTTTAATCTGTCACCTTATTCCCCACAGGGTACTCTGGCAGAGAGAATCAGGGCTGGGGGCGCTGGGATTCCAGCCTTCTTCACAGCCACCGGCTATGGCACACTGATCCAAGAGGGAGGGTCTCCTATTAAGTACAACAAAGATGGCAGCATTGCCATCGCCAGTGAGCAGAGAGAGGTGAGAGTACTGTCATTCTTGTTGTTGTTGTGCCATTAAGTCCATCATGAAGTCAGTGCAAACTTTCTTTTGTTTGGGACAACTGCAGATTTTTTTTCCGGACCCATGGCCACTTTCCTTGAGAGTTTGTTTAATGATTTGAGATCTGTGGTCGAACTTGGGTGCGGTACATAAAAGCAGTCTTGAATCCAACTCATAATGGCCCCACCATTATTTGCTTCCCTGGAACTCTGGTGTGGTGTGTGTATTTATCACATATATTAATGTGAATATATCCATTCATAGCACAAAACATGTCTGGAAAAAGCCCGCACTCTAAAGAACTTTTTTTAAAGAAAATTGCAACCTGTTTGACCAGTTTTATTTAGTGTAGCAGGCCCAGTGAGACTGCATTTAAACAATGAGAGTAACATCTAAAGTCCTCCACGTTTACAAAAATCATGCTTTTTACACATGTGACTCAGATGGTGTAATGCACTGCCATGAATGTTTGTTTTGGTATTGATTTTCTTGTGTGAAAAACAAAAATCTGCTGTAATGACTGACCTTAGATCTGTACTTCCAAGTCACCAAGTCTGAAACAGGTCATTATGTTTATCTGCGACTGCACCCAGTGCCACTAACTCCTTTTGATTGTGTTGTCATTGTCCACAGGTGAAAGAGTTCAATGGCAGACACTACATCATGGAAAAGGCCATCACTGGAGACTTTGCACTGATCAAGGCATGGAAAGCTGACAAGGCTGGAAACATTGTTTTCAGGTAACTGATGACTTAAAATGCAAGCGTTTGACTCATTTTTCACTAAACGGAAATATATACCGATCAAACATCATTAGCACAGACCTACTGTAATATGGCAGTGCCAGTATTTATCTTGGAAATAATTCAGCTTCTCCCTGCCTCAAATCATTTTAGACTAGTCTTAATCACCTTGGTTGTGTTTGCAAAACAACCAGCACATGCTGCCGTCCTGTACCAACTGATTCTAATCTGTACATTTTCAGTATGTATTAGCTACATGGTTTTCTTTTGTTTGTTCAAAGTTTGTGAACATATCATAGGATTTACACCAGCAACTATATTTTGACAGCGCATTTATTTCAGCATACATACATGGATGTTGTTCATGGATATCCTCATTAGTTTTTAACACAATCTAAATTAAGTATAGGCCTTCCATTCTAGCATCCATAAGGTCATTTGCACCTACCTGGCATATATAAATGACAGAAATTAGTAGATGTAGTAAAGCTTTTCTCCACAAGAGAGCAATGTCTCCTAGTAAACTAACAGCTTATACTGGATGTTAGATATTGAATATTACAGGAGAGTTTCGGGGGTTTACTTGCTCATCTTTGCTTTTGGCTGACACATTTCCATCTCTTTCTTGCTCTTTTTTTTGTCAGGAAAACAGCCAGAAACTTCAACCAGCCTATGTGCAAGGCAGCCAAAACCACAATAGTTGAGGTACGCATTTCCAACAACACATTGATTTGCTTGTAAATGAATGTCTGCCTGCAACATGTCTACTGACACATACTGTATCTATCAATGGAGTAATAATCTAGATGTCAGCTTTCCTTTAATAGTTTTCATGCATCAAGTAGACTTTCATTTACTAGGAATTTAGTTATTCTATCCCAACCCCAGCTGAAATAGGCCCTCTAGGTAAATAATGTAAAAATCTACACTCAACACAATAAAAACTGAACTTTTAAACATATACTCCACATATGATGATATAAATTAAAGCCATTCTTAAACCCCAGCACCTCCTGGAACTGATCTGGAATGAGCTCAAGTGTGAATTTAGTTCAACCAACTAAAATCGCCATCACCTGCAAATAACATGTGGGTTAAAAAAACATTGTAATTATGTTTAACTGTAGACCGTGAAGAAAATAGAGTAAAGAAATTTGACCTTTGAACCCAACCACACAAAAGCAGTAATTCCCTATACATCAACAAAACAAATGGAGTGAGAATGTGCTGCTATCTCTGTGCTGTGTGTGTCATATGTAGTCTTCATTCAGTCTGTCTGGTTACCCACCTGTCTAGCGTCTGACAGTCAAGTGTGATCGCTCATCTCTCCCCTCTATGTGTGTCTATGGGTGTGCTTCTGTCTTCCTCTCCACCCCTCTAACAGACATAGACGGCTTCACACCTTGCATATAGACACCGTTGATTCAGAGAACAGCAAGGAGAAAAACTGTGTGTGGAAACCATAAAACACTGGCGCTTTCCGAACATAAATCGGTAGCGAATGGTCTCTCATAAATCTAACAGGGTTCCACAAAGCACATTTTCAATTATTCCACGGTTGCTGGATTTGAGATTTAGTCTGCTGTTGATTAGAAATGTCTGGGACCAAATGGGAAGAGTAAATTGTCTCACTGTAGAGCCGTTGTGAACTGTTAAGATCGATTAATAACTAAAATTTGGTTTATAGCGGTAAACAGCACCGGTATTAATGGGTTTTAAAGGTACAATATGAAAGATTAGGCCAGAATTGCAGTTTAAAACATTAAAAATTGAACTAACATGTTTAAGAGAATGTGAAGAAGTAACCATTCTGACATCATGTCAAAGAAGTCTATGTATTGTGTGGCAGAGATATCTGCACAAATTAGCTTGCTAATGAGCTAGTTCCTGCCCGGCCTGTGATGTGTTGTAAATACCACTTGTGCCTTGAGATGCGATTATGAGTCACTGTAGTGTGCAGTCAGCCCTCAGTCCTACATGAGAGGATGGAAAAGAAAAGTTTGCCTTGAGGGCTTGTCAATCAATGCAGCTACATAAGATGTTCCAACTCTCGTTTCTCCGATTCCCTCTATACTTGTTTTGTCTCCTGCCACCACTTAAACATCCCTGTCTCTGACTTGGCAGAGTGTTTGTCTGGGGGGACACACAGGAGATGGAAGCGCTGCGAAGCACAGTCCGCTTTCTTTTGGCGCTCATGTTAACCAATTGGGCAGTTAAAACAGAGCTGGTGTATGTATAGCTGCAAACGAACCTGGCAAGAAAACACAGTGATAATCTACTATAAGCAATATAAATCATAATGTTATATATGATATAAATAATCTGATTCTGATGAGCTATGCGCCCCGTGCTTGCCAAACCCTTTGATATCTCTCTCCCTCTCCCAGCTCTTGTACTGCAATTTCAATTCCCCTGACCCCAAGAGCACCATGAAATATCAAAATCTGCCCATCCTCTATAACAAATCATAACTTTAAATAGTATCAAGTATCATCAGTATAGAAATTACACATTGTACCTTTTAAGAACACAGTATTCTACATGGTGCAAGGCAAATTTACATTCACGTGCACACATCACAACCGAAAGAACCACTAAATACTACTTTGCTTCATGCATTGACTTTATTGCATGTGCGGAGACGACAACCATGATTTCAATAATGGATATCAATGAATTATAGAATATCATTGCTACGGTATAATATAAATCACCCAATTTTCTTCTGCAAGGATAATGAGACTATTTGCTCTGACAGCAGTTATGCCACCAAGAAATGTGTGTGTGTGTGCTGAAGTTGTGATGTAGTGACATGAATGATAATGCAGCTCTGCTTAAACAGCTACTTTGAGATTCAAGCATAATAGGTTGATTTTGATTTATCTGCTTCCACCTTTGTGCGCCTAGAATCATCTGCTCAGGGTGGTTTTGGCAAGTGGAGAGGATGAAATAATTGTTTTAACAGGTTTAGAAACCCAGGTTGCATTTAGACTGAGGGACAGACCTGTTTTTCCATTTCCAAGGTGCATTTCTAAGATTGCTTTTCTGGCATTTCTACTTGCATACAGTGGCAAGAATGATAGGAAAGAGAGAGAGAAGGAGTGAGATGACAAGTTGAAAGGAAGATTTTAGACACCACAATATCACAAGTTTCCAGGATGCACCTGACATACTTCACTTAACAAGGTCTGAAAAAAAGTTATGAACACAAACAGCCTATGCAAACTCTAATGGATTCAGAAATAATTGCTTGACTTAATTTTTTAACAAGGACACAGTACACAGCCTTTTTTAATTGAGTACTACATGTGTAGCCTAAAGAAAGGTTATTAAAAATTGCCTATTTATAAAAAGAAATTAATGGCACATCTCAATCAATTAACCTCACCCAAAACACACTCCAGAACCTGACACAAATCATCTTATTTTGGGAAAAGAAAGCTCTGCAATTACATCGGTACTTAAATTAATCAATTTTAAATGTAGTTTTATTGCATGTTCCCTGCAAGCACTAAAACCAGACTGTGTCAAACAGCTGTGTCAGTTTCAGCCTAGGTCTTTAAAGGTTTTGAATGTCACCCCTTTTTCATGTCAAGTTCTAATAATACATAGTGCTTTTTGACCCTTGTCATCCACCTATCAACCAAATGCTTCTATTCTGCAGGGCATTCGCTGTGCTGCAGTCTGACAAATGATATCAAACATGATTTTCTAATGTTGAACATTTTAAAAGTGTCTTCCTTACATTCTCTGGTTATTAATTTGTTTTTGAAAATATTTTGAAAATTTTAAATGAAGTTCTCATTGATATTCATACTTCAAATTCCTAGTATAAAATAATGCACGTCTCCTAATGTAAGATCAATAAAATAAATATCTAATTTAAATTAAATTGAATTTGGATTTAAATTTTTTAGGTGTGTTTAAGTTCTTGGGATCCCTTTATGGCTGTCTGAACACTTTGTTTCAGGTGATTTGTCAAATTGTTTCTGCCATGGTGCCTTTTTTATGGCAGTGCAGGTAATATATGGGCATTATCTATGACAAGCCTACTTATTGGTGACAATAAAGTAATAGATGATGTATTGCAATACCCATTAAAAACCTTTTATCTCTGATACTAAAGCAATTACCATCTCTCTGAAAATAAATGTATCATCAGGATTCAGTGCATGCTCAGTCATAAATCTGGTTATATGCTGTCAATATTGACCCTGTCTGCTCTCTCGGTGCGCTGGTTAAGGCTGGCAAAGGAACCAAGACACCAGGTCAGAGGTTTTTGAAGCTATTCATTTAACTTGCAGCTCATCTTGGCAGTGTGCGGGCAAGCTATGACGATCATGTTGCACACTAAATTGCTTGTCTGCTGGACCAGATTTATTTCTCTATAGCCAGGTAGGCCCAAGTTCTTCAGGGGTTAAGCACTTAATTGGTATCAAGGGCAAACAATGTCAGGACATTGTGGAGGGACACTGACAGGACCAGGGAAAATTTGGTAGAATAAGGATGATGCACTTCTCAGTTTCGGTCAAAGGGCAGAAACTTAGACTGCAACTTATAACTATGCCAGAACAACTAGGTTGATTTATTAGATTAAATCCAGATTGATTAGTTTAAGTTAAAAAATACTAATAAGTTGTTCAAAATACTTGTAGTATGAATCAGTATGAACGATTCTGGCCATTGTTTGTGTTAACTAATAGAATATCACCACACTGAAGTGTGTCAAAGTGAGTTCCATAAATGTTGGTGAGCTTCCCCTTGACACATTGCAAAAGCTGGTGCCCATTAGCCTCTTGAATAAAATTTTGTTTAGCCAACCCACTCCTCTCTGATGGTTGTTTGAATTACCGGTGCTTGAACTTTTAACCTGCAGAATGAGGCAACTCCAGTCTGCAGTCTGGTATATTAAATCTGAAAGTTCTTCATTTACACTTAATGTGTGCCACAATATTGTAGTGTTATTAAGGTATTTTAAATTAAAACATGATTCAACAATGATTCAAATGATCTTGAGGTAGTGTAACATTGCAATTGTCGCCAGCCGGCTCCCTTTCATGGCAGACTCCACATTTACCATGTGCAACATAAATGGATTAACATTCTGTTATATTCTATTATACTTTACGTGGTAAATCCTTCTTATACATGTGCCATTATTAACAGATTTAACTTTAACGATAGCCAGTCACTACTACTGCTTCGTTCCGTCAGGTCATTGATCACTGGCGTATCATTGTAGTCCCTGTCCCTATTCTGATACTACATCTGCACTGCTTTTAAATTTTTGTTTTACTAAATTTAATCTACAAGAGGCAGGAAGAGTGTCAGAAAATGAGATAACACAAAAGCACTTTGAAAATTACCAGATCATCGCAGCCTCCTGCCATGGTTGCTAGGCAACCAAACCCTGCTATTCAATTGTTGAATGTTCCGCGGTATCCAGCTGGTCCAGTTATTCCCTTATCGCAGGTACAGTGAATTGCCCTAGTGCAGTGTGGGATACAATGCACCAGAGACTGAATCAAAGCAGTGGTTTCTGCTGTTGTTCGACCATCAGTCACAGTAAATGACTCAACTGTATTCTGTTACTGTGGCAATGCAATGTTGTGGTGTGGGTGTTGGTGTACACACACGACCAACCAGACATGCATGTGTGAATTGAATGAATGTATTTATGAGGGTGTTTTGTTGTTTTAAACCAG